CAAATATATCGCTATAATTCGTCACCAGAGGGATATCGGCCTAATCTACATTTGTCAGCGCTAATCCTCAGTAGATAAAGAGCCAAAGAGCCAGAAACCCAATGGACAAAGATGAAGTAACAAGACGTCGTAAGATTTACCATTCCAATTTTAAAGAAGATTTTTTCTTAATATTTATTGGTTTTTTTGTGTTTTTAAGGAACTTTTTAAATATAGGCAGTTGTGTAGCCTAAAAAGGAAGGTCCAGCTGTCTGTACTTTGTTCTAGAACACTTTGTAAAAATGGTAATCGTCTGAAATATATTTTTAGAACGACTTTGTCTTTTAATTTTGTAAAAAGTAATTTATTCATCTGACGGAAATCCAAATATATCGCTATAATTCGTCACCAGAGGGATATCGGCCTAATCTACATTTGTCAGCGCTAATCCTCAGTAGATAAAGAGCCAAAGAGCCAGAAACCCAATGGACAAAGATGAAGTAACAAGACGTCGTAAGATTTACCATTCCAATTTTAAAGAAGATTTTTTCTTAATATTTATTGGTTTTTTTTTGTGTTTTTAAGGAACTTTTTAAATATAGGCAGTTGTGTAGCCTAAAAAGGAAGGTCCAGCTGTCTGTACTTTGTTCTATAACACTTTGTAAAAATGGTAATCGTCTGAAATATATATTTTTAGAACGACTTTGTCTTTTAATTTTGTAAAAAATATTAAATAATTTTTAATAATGTATGGTTAATAAGGATCTATTTTAAGCTTACAAACAAATAAATTTTAGTTTTTAATATAGTACAGAAAAAAAGTAATCTAAATTTACGAATGCATGTACTGTAAATACAGTACATACTTGTAAATATATATATTTTAATATGATTTTATGTGCTTTAAACATTTTTCTAGTGATATTACGACTTCAATATTTGTGGCGGACAGACGTAAAGCACAATAAAATGACTTAAACTTGATTTTTATTTTTCCATATACTTTTTTGACAAACAACATATAATCGGGAACAACGTAAGTCGAAGTATACCTGTATTAAATTTATCAAGAGATAGCACCTAACATCTTCCTCTCGACCAAATTACTTGATATTTAATTATTAATAGTAGCATTAATATAACCCAATATAATCAAATAATCCTTTGCCATTAAACTTCCTCCCAACACAACCTAATAATTAATTTACAAGTTCTGGAAAAAAATAATTGGCTCAAAGCAGGACTTGAACTCAGAACTCCACTTATTGTGCAGTCGCATTGCCAGTTATGCTACCTGGACCTTTGTCCAATCTTCTACTCCAGAACTATTAATTTGTATATAACCATATTTGGTTACTTATGGCACTGGGTAGAGATGATTCAGTACCCACGGCCTATAACTCCTGCTATGGCACTCAGCTGGCTATCGCATCTACGGCAGCATGGTGATAATTTAATTATATCAAAATATGGCACCTAATGCCTACCTCTAGTACCAAATTACTTAGTATTTAATTATTAATAGTAGTAGTAATATAGCCTGAAATAAACCAGCAATTATTTGGCTTTAACTATTGAGTTTAAGATGTTGATACTTAAAATAATTTACTACCATAGCCAGTAACTGACTACTGACTTCTCAATAGAGTAAAAATGTTCAACAGCTTATTATAAACACTATTCATTATATTTTATATAATGTATAATTTTTAAAAAAGTATAAATTACCTACATTTCACATTAAATATGCATGTTAAATACTTGTTAAATATTGAAATTCTGAACTATGGTTCTCATACAACACTATCTCTATTATGAAAATAAATTAATGTGCATTATTCTACATTTAAAAAATATTTCATATCTTGATAGCAGATTGTTAATACATCTGAAGAGTCACATGCTAATAAGTATATAATAACATATTAATATATCTATTAATTAATCAACATACTATTGCTATTTATTACATATTTATTTTAAAAATACTATAGTTAAGTTAGATTTTTTTAAATTAAACACAATACAATGAAGTATTTTTACCTTTGTTTTATTACACTAATGGGAATATTACTTATTCCTCCCATGCTGCCTGATGTTCGAAGACGAGGAATAGAAGAACATCTTGCTACTGAATAATCATCATCTCTTTTTGGTTTTTGAATACTGGAAGTTTTGGTAGCACTATTCAAATATTTCTTCATTATTTCTGAAAGAAATATAATATTTTATAAATTAATCATATAGTATCTATTTATATAACACATTAATAAATTAAAATTAGAAATGCATGATATTATAATATATATAAATTTAATGAGAAAAAGTACTCAAAGGTAATTAAATTAATTAATAATAATGCTTATGAAATAATAAAGTCAGAATAATAATATTTAACGTATGTATATTTTTTAAATTTTATGGATATTCAATAAGCTCTTCCAAGACATTTATTGAATGATTGTGTTGCAAATGTAACATTTCTACTTACAATTTAAAGATCATAATTGTATATTACAAATAAAAACTAGGTAGAAGCTACTTTTCAGTACTCTATACTGGTAAATTTGCAGTTCTGAACAAGGAATTTGGATCTCCCAAATTTTAGATCCCTAGACAACCAAAACATCACGGGTGCATATGCTTTTTGTTTTAGATGGATCGATCTGTAGGATCATATCAGTCTTTATCACATGATACAGATCACTTCCATCATGTTTTAGTTGGCTGAAAGTATACAAGCAGAATCAAATCATATTTACTCTGTGAATAAAATTGCTCACAAAGTGGCAAATGGGAGAGTGCACACCATGTGTTTTTGCCTACAACCTTGCAAAATTGTTTCTTAATACAGTGGTACCTCAGGATACGAAATTAATTTGTTCCAAAACTGAGATCGTATCATGAAAATGTCGTAAGGTGGATCATCTTTTCCCATACGATTACATGTAAAACCAAATAATTCGTTCCAACGCGAAAAACATACTCAAATTAAAGCCAAGTAATACAGTACATTAAAAAAAAATAACTGTAGTAAGAAAAACAAATGAAAAATGCGAACTAATGTAACGTCGTATGGTGAGTTTTTGTTCGTATCGTGGAGCAAAAATATGTTCGAATTTTAAGTCGTATCCTGAAAATTTCGTATGCTGGGGCGTTCGTAACCTGAGGTACCACTGTACTTATTTTTTCATCTCAGTTTATCAAATATTTCAATAATGTTTTTATCTACCATTTATAAATTTTAAATACTTTTCACTGTCAACAGTTGAACATATTTCTTTGCTGTCAACTATAAGATCCACTTTAATCAGAGAAATTGCATCTTTAATCTTTCTTATCCAATCCAAATGATACTATCCTCCACTCTGATTAGTTCGATCACAATTCGGTCAATCCTAGATGTCATTTGCATACTCAGATAGAGATTGATCAGATTGCTATAGTTTGTTTATACACATGATTTGAACAATTAGAGTAATCTTGAATCAATTTATTTTATAAATGTCTGTGAGGACATATCTTATTACTAGGACTTATTGTATTGGTGTTCTTTTTCTACAAATAGAGGAAAACTTATTCAGAAAAAAGCAGACTTTATTGTTCACCTGGTATTTTGCCTGTACACACTATATTTGTGTTCTGGACTTCAAAGTCCCTCTTCGGCAGGTTTACAATAGCACGGTGCTAAAAACAAAATTTATAAAAATTACGACAATACATTAAAAAATTCCTGACATAATAATGTAGGGATACATATACATAATAAAGTACACTGTTAAAACCATAACATAGCAAACTGTTTTACCATTAAAACAATAAAGTAAAAACTTATTTATCATTAAATCAATAAGACTATAAACTTATTTATAGTAGAACAGTGATTTACAGAAACAAGAAATTTGCCACCATTTTCCTTTTTTATTTACACATTTCCCCATCCCCTGCACCCCTTCTTGGTCAAATATGGATACCATGTTTCATATAATTTTTTACCAGTATTATTCATGATTTTTGTCTTTGTTTTTTAGTATTTCCAAATGCTCATACCATCTTTTTTGTGTGTTAGATTCTTTTCTAACAATTTTTACAGTGTCCCTAATTATTTGACATCCTTCACTGTTAAATGAACTGCTACAGCCAAATTACTATTATTATACTTAATTGAGAATATGTGTTCTTTAAAACGAATCTTCAAATCTCTGCCAGTTTCATCTATATAAAATTTAGGCACAGTGCAGCAGTAAATAACAGACAGCTTTATTATGTATATTGTTTGCCTTTTGCTACTAATACTACCTTATGTATCATACTGTCATGTCTAATGTAAGTTTACATCTATGTTATATTGTTCTTTAACATTCTACTATTGTAATAGCAAATACCTGTAAACTAATAATTGTCATCAATTGTTGCCATTTCTGTACTTTTTCATATCCATGTAAATAAAAATTTTTTGTTAACTTATATGCTCTATTTCCTAAACAGTTACTTCATAAAGAGTTGATGAGGGACTCGATGTCCAAAATGCATTCTCTTGGAAATAAAATATGATTTTCTAAGGCTGGTCCTGTTTAAGGAATAAATGTTTTTTGATGGGAATCCTTCTGTTTATTTATTTACATCTCAATGTAATTAATCAAAGGGAAATTGTAAGTCAATCTAAAATGTATACAGTATATTATTGTCAGGAATTTTTTAATGTATTGTCATAATTTTTATAAATTTTGTTTTTAGCACCGTGCTATTGTAAACCTGCCAAAGAGGGACCTTGAAGTCCGGAACACAAATATAGTGTGTACAGGCAAAATACCAAGTGAACAATAAAGACTGTTTTTTCTGAATAAGTTTTTCTGGTACTTATCAGTTAGCAGGGTGCCAGTCAATTGATGCAATTTAAACCTAACCTACCCATTTGGGAAATCCTTTCTGAACCAATTATCAACCTAATACATGCGAATTGGATTGTATCAATTGACTGGCATCCTGCTAACCAGAAAGTACCATTTTCCTCTATTTGTAGAAACAGACCACCAGTACAATAAGTCCTAATAATAAGATATGTCCTAGTAGACATTTATAAAATAAATTGTATAAAATAAGGTCACAAAGGAGTATGAATTAATCTTGGATCAGTTTGATAACCTAATATCAGGGGGCCATATTTTGCAGTGTCCCACAGCACATCAATTCCTGACTTTTCACTCCTTTAGGCATGGCCCACAGCTCTAACAAATCCCCAACCACTAAATTCAGCGCTACATTTCTACCCTTTGAATATATATACATTTATAGATAAGTGACTTAAAAGTTACTTCAAGTAAATTATTAGACAGTTGATACTTAACATTGAAATTTCTTTAAAATACTTAAATTCCAAGAATCGTTACTTCATTTTTACTATATAGTTTTAATATTGTTTAAATGTATTAAGAGTATTATAAATAGTTATACCTTCGAAAAATAGTTATACCTACGAAATACAATACATTCGAAAAATACGAAATAATGCTTTGTGTTACAAATTACAATCTATTTTTCCCGCTTTCTAACTGATAAGAAGTGTTGCCAGATCGAGAGAGCCAAATTAGAAAATAATTACAATTGATCTATCGGCATAATGTATTACGATATTAGCATTTTCTATCACAGATACAATTTTTTTTCATATTTTTATTAAATTTTCACATTATTTCTTAGGAATTTATTTTATTTACAATTTTTTTTTTTATTTTCTGTTTTAAAATGGCGTCGATTGTAAAGCGCACTTTAAATTTTTTGTTAGTAAAAATAAAATTAATTTGTAGAGCATAGGAACTGATTCCTATTATGGGCCCTTAAGTTTTCTCCAGGCCTGGAAAAAAATTCGCAGATTGATAGTCCTGTACACGATGCCATTGATGTAAGATGCATCTTGTTATTAATATAAGAGAGAAAGAATAAAATTAATACAGTTCAAAGTTTTATTACGGACAGCAAGACTACACACAAAATAGTAAAAGGGAGAAAAGAGCGCCAAAACTACAACAACGTCATGTATGAGAAACCGGGAGCAAAGGGGTTCCCTATTGACCGCTTAGTGGACAACGAGTTGGTAAAACCCGCTCAATTAGTAACTGAATGGACTTTATAGATTATCGAAGACGAGGAAATCATGAGATTTCTGTCCTCTGTCAGGATCTGACACCAGTTAGGCTAGAGTTAATTTTTTTAAATAAAAAGTTGTAACAAAAATTTATAATCATTTTCATACTTACAAGGGACTGGCGATCTCGATCTCCTCGTGTCCTTGACATTTGAGGCTTTTATACCCGAAATCCCGATTTTTGGTTGGTCCGAAACGGTGGACTCTCGTAACTCTATTGATCCCCTACCTGTTGCTACAGGCGCAATTTGGATCGCGTGGTTGTCGAACACCTCCTTCCGCCCGTACCGCTTTCCCCGGGGTAGGGTCATACTCCTTTCCGAGTGATCGTCCCTTAAATTATCGATAATGTGTTTTCTCCTGTTTCGGAGAAGACGCAGCTGGATTCGTACGGTCCCAGCCGCCGCCCCCTCCGAGGAAGCGTTCGTGTTTTTCGCTTTCAACTCTGTGTAAGGTGATCGCCAAAATTTCTCCTGCTCTCTCTTGCGATCTATGCCCGAGAATCAGTGGGGTAGCTAGAGGGGGCGACCCACACTGGGTGTCACTTGTTTAGGGGTGACACCCAACTGGGAAAAAAATAAAAACTTAAACAAACTATCAAAATGTTTTCCAACGATAAATCACTTAAGCTTGAGGCCATTTAAACAAGTTATCTATATTAAATACAGTACTGTAATTTAATTTTACAGAATCTTTTCCGAATCTTATGATCGCACTANAAAAACAATAAAAAATTATACTTCAGATGTTAATTTAGTATCAAAAACGTAAAATATTTGAGTAGCCCAAGACATAGCCAAGGATTGAAGCGCCACAGCACTGGCGAAAATTTAAATTTGCCGACTGGAATTCTTTCGGATGATTAACTTTCGGAAAATCGACGCTCTACTGTATTCCTAAAATTTTCTATAATTTGTCACCCCAGTCCTGGATGTGATGAATTATCAAATTTCTACTGTGATAATAAAACTCAAAAAATTAAAAACTACTGGAGATCACATTAAGTACAATAGATTGCTTCAACTAACAATTTTATATGCAGTTAGCAAACAAAATTTAGCAATTAGCAAATTGCAGTTAGCAATATTTTATTTGCTAACTGCATATAAAATATTTAAAAAATTACTAATCATTTGTGACCATTTATAGTGGATAAAATAATTTATTTCTCATTTTTGACCAATAAATATAATAATAAATGAAAAAAATTTTTTGATGGACATGATTATGGTTATTCTTTTTCCATAACATTATTTTGCATATTCCTAAAATGATTCTCATTCTTTTCTTCTTATATGACTTTTGTTAGGGATTTTATAATTAGTCTGTCAGTATCAAAGAAGGATGAAAGTCATTCATTTAATCTGCTATTAACATATTCTGTATCTATGTCAATTTAAATAAAATACTTATACTTTTTTTTTTTTTTTAATTTGTGGTTTTAGGCCCCTTGCCACTCAGAGAGCACAAAGAGGCCAAAGAATACTTATACTAATAACATGAGGTTTCAAACATTATTCAAATGTAAGTGTTCAATAATATTCTTGAGAATTAACATTTCCTATAAGCAAGCATTGCAAATTCTACATCATGATGGCTTGTATCCATTTTTAATGAAAATATACTTTTTAAAAATAAAGTTGCATTTGTATAATTAATTTAAGTGGTGTAATTAATAATACATTTTAATATAATTATAATTTTTATCATAAATTTATTGTAAATGTTACTAAAAAACTACCTCACTGTGCAACACATTTTAGAATATTAGATATTTTTATGTTGTAGACATTTTTGAAAACTCAATTTTATCAGAAAATGCAATGCAATGCAATAAATGAAACATCAAGTTACTCATGGCACTGACTGGGAATTATTTCATCACCCATGGCCCTCAGATAGCTATCGCTTTATCCCAGCATGGTGCATATCTAAATTAATAGTTATGGAGATGAAGATCAGACAGAGGTCTAGATAACATAACTGGCAACACATCTGCACAGCAAGCTAGAGTCACAGTTTGAAACCCACTTCTGGCTGATTCTTTTCTTTCCAGAACCTTCTAAATTATTAAAAATATAAATTTAATCATAATTACAGGTATACCTCGCCTTACGTCGGTAATTGGTTCCAGGAGAATGACTTAAGTTGAATTTACTTATCTCCAAATCTACTTGTCACTAGGATAAACCATAAATTGCCAATTCCGGTCCTGTATTTTATTTATTAAATAATTGGATTTCCGTCAGATGAATAAATTACTTTTTACAAAATTAAAAGACAAAGTCGTTCTAAAAATATATATTTCAGACGATTACCATTTTTACAAAGTGTTCTAGAACAAAGTACAGACAGCTGGACCTTCCTTTTTAGGCTACACAACTGCCTATATTTAAAAAGTTCCTTAAAAACACAAAAAAACCAATAAATATTAAGAAAAAATCTTCTTTAAAATTGGAATGGTAAATCTTACGACGTCTTGTTACTTCATCTTTGTCCCTTGGGTTTCTGGCTCTTTGGCTC